CCCCCCCCCCCCCCCCCGCCGCCCAACCCCCAAGTTCACTTTTTTATTGTGGATTCGGGGTCCTCTGGTGCAGCGCAGCACAGCCCCACCTTCAGAAAAAAAAAAAAAAAATCCGTGCCCTGTTTTTGCATCACCCGGTTCACCCGGGCGGACCCCCCCGGGCCCAACCGGCCGGGGTCCGCCCGGCCGGGCACGCCGGGCCGGGCGCTGGCCCAGCCTAGGAATTGACAGATTTTTACTGATTGTACAGGTATTGAATCTGCAGTTGTCACTGCCACTAGTGGTGAAACACTTTTTTTATTATTTTTAACCAAGAATTAAAACTGTGCGGCTCTGGCTACTTTCCATTCTGGGGAGTGTCAGTCCGGATCCTTTTCCACTGGCAAGTCAAAATTACAACAATTACGCAAACAATTCTTGGGGCCTCGTTAGACCCTCCTTGGAAATCCGATTTTTAGGAAATTAGCATTGTTACACCGCGTCCTAATTCACCAAGTTCCTTGAATGAATGTGAAAATGCTCCTGAGAGATTTCCTTGGGTTCCTCAGAATCCCCAGCCAAAATGTCCTTGGATTCAAGGGATCCTCGCGAGGTCCCTTGGGTTAAAGAAGCCGTGATTGACGGAGGAGGCTTCTGGAGCGAGCGTGGACAGGAAATTTGGAGTTGATGTTGGCGCAGAGATCGTCCGTGGTCCATTGGGCGGACATCGCCGGCCTCCAGTACTGACGGGCCCCCAATGGCCTTCCACCGTTACCGTTGGTGCGAAAATGCGTAGGGGTGGTTTCGCAGCTGCAAGGCGCTTCACAAAGCAAGGTTTTCCGTGCTTTCTTCTCAGGAAAGTGAGAGCGATGGGCTCCTGGCCTGGCCCAAAACAATCTTTAGGATTGACACAGCGATCAAGGATTTGGAATTCCACCCAGCAGAATGGGCTTGGACATCAGAAAGGAACAAATATATGAATACAGAAATCCAGGACTACTCGGTGAAGATGAGGTACAGATTATTATTCCTCAAGACTAAAGATCCAGAGAACCAATAATAAGAAGCAAATGGGCAAAACTAATCAGTCAAGAGGCAAACCAGATCACACAGATTCCATGGAAGAAATTCAAATCAATCAGACGGGTCAAAATCAGGAGTCTCCAATGGCTGATAGCCTATGTAGCTCTACCGATTAACCAGCGGCTCCACATTCGTAGATGGAAGAACCATCCTATAAAGAGTTCCGACCTATGCACAGTTTGCTCAGAAAATGAACCGGAAGACTTACTTCACTGCCTAACAAAGAAGCAACAGAGCACTGGGCCAGGGCTTCAGATCTCTGGGACTCCCTGTTCACCAAACGCTTCCCTGAACACTCCATCCAACTTCTACTGTGGAATAACATCCTGACTGACCTCATCAGCTCAGAGAAGACATGGTATGGTATGATCAGAAAAAGTTACGCTGTGGTCTATACATGGAAGGAGAGATGCAGCCGGACTATTGAAGGATTATCAACGCAGAAACCAGGACACTGATCCAGGCGGAGATTTTATGCAGATGGCACAGAACGAAACAGGCATTGCCTGAGGATGAAGGTCGGCAGCGTACTATCCTCTCCAAGTTCGCCAAAGTTTGGCTGGTGGGAGGAAAAGTTGCAGAGCGAAGAGATGGCAACATACGCTGGAAAGACTGGAATAACTGGGAAACCAGGTGGAGAAGCTCGCTACAGCAAGCTGCGGGCTGTCCACAGGACCCACAGGCGACATAAGGACACACACAAGACACCAACATTTTTTGAGAAGCAACTCAAAGGCCCTTCCCAGTGCTCCTTGTTTTAAAAAGTTTACTTGGCAGATTCCCACAGAGGAATCTGAGAGGGATTGCAGGGAAAGGTAAGCTGACAGTCAATCTTCCTAATAGGAGTAATCAATGCTGGTCAGGGTCCCTTCGGCCAGACGGAAGGAAGCGTGAGTGGGTGGGTTTATGATGTACTCATTTTGGCTTGCCGAGGGAATAGGAACTGGACTGACGCTCCCCAGAATGGATATGGAGCCAGGACCATAAGGGCCTGCTCTGTTAAGAAGAAGAAGAAGAAGAAGAAGAAGAAGAAGAAGAAGAAGAAGAAAGATCGGGCCCACTGTGGACAAGGCAGAATATTTGCAGGGGCAACCGACTTGCAGGCTGATTGACTGGTTAATAGTGGTGTGACATGGTGTGTCACTGTTTGAGATAATAATAAGCGGACCTGCCGCGACAATGCCGTGACCAGACAGTGGGGATGTGAGGAAATGACGGAGAGGGAGAGAACCATGCAATCAGCAAACGAAATTAAAAGTACACCGGGAGGCGGGGTGTCAGGGCGAAAAAAAAGGGAAAAAAGGTGGACAGAGAACAGGAGGCCGACTAGAACAAATGGGCACAGTTGTCATGAAAAGATATACGATTGCAGAGCCTCTCCCGGCAGGTTCCCCCGTGGGCGCAATGCACATGAAAGTTGCAATTCAGACCCAATCAGATGACTCAGAGCTTAGTTGATGAAGGCCCTTTCAGACATCTGTCAAATTGAAATGACACAGAGAAGATTAGCATGGCCTCTGCGCAAGGACGACACGCATAAAGTGACAAATGGTCCAAATTAGGGGAAAAAAAAGGTTAACGAAGTTATCTTCCGAGACTCAATAACCTGCAAACGTGCCTTCTGAAAGAGGCCTGCCCGTTTTGGTGCAGCTTCTGGTTGATTAATGTACGTGTTTTCCATATCGCTCTACATTCCTTCCGCTCCTCCTGCTCCTACACGTTTCCATCTCCAGTCTCTATCAATTCCGCTTCTCCCTTCATGGTTCACTCCTCTTCCTCCTCCTCCGTTTGCTCCTTGAGAGTGCGTCTGTGTATTCCCTCTTTTCTGTCGATTTGTCCTCTTCTCCCTTCATGGTCGACTCCTCTGTCTTCCTCCTATTGCTCGTTGACTCTCTCACCAATTTGTCGGTGGTGGTCGACTCTTCTGCCTCCGTACTGCTTTTGTCGCCCGAGTCCGGGTGCTCCTACGGATGGATTGTTGACTCTTCTCCCTTCCCTCTCTTCCCCCTGTAATTGATGGATTGAATTGATTCCCAGTTTTCATTCATCATTCACTGTTTTCCCCGATGATCGCTTGCACTAGTACCTCTCTCTCTCTCTCTCTCTCTCTCTCTCTCTCTCTCTCTCTCTCTCTCTCTCTCTCTCTCTCTCTCTCTCTCTCTCTCTGACTGATATAACGGCTTTGTTACCCCTTTTTGCTTCTCTGGCAATCTCGAGAAATCCCCTCCATTTGTTCAAGCCCGGGCCATATATCCACACATGTAATCGTAAGAACAGCATGGCACACAAGTCACATCCACTTGTGGTGAGCCGATGCTGCCAAACCGCACACCCACTGTGGCAGATATCACCACACGTGCAGCATGCAGCAGTCCCAAGCCCCCGCCGACACCAACGTGCCTGTTTCGGAATGATTGGGTGCCGTTAATGAACGCGCCCCTGACATCAACAAGCATCCGCCCGCACGTCTTCAAAATACCTCGCGCTCGGGACCGCTTCTTCTACGGCCTGTCTTGCACGGTTCGGGCCGCACGGGCCAGCTTCTTCGATGGCCTGTGTCGGACGGTTTGGGCCTGGCCCTCTCCCGCGGTGTTTCCCAACACCCGAAGTGGGCTCTCGTGTGGGAAGCTCATGCGAGACCCACTCTTTTTTCTTCAAGAGTATAAAGATAAAGGGATTGTTTTCCTTTGTTCCACTTTTCCATTTTCATTGGTCCTTCCGCCTTCTTTGTAATGTTCAGAGTGCGAGGGGTGCTTGTTGGAGTCTGTCTGGAAACACACTTGCTTGGGATTGATGCGAAAAAGCGAAGTATTCAACTGGCTAATGAAGGCCAAGAAAAATGTTTGCTGAAGAGGCTATAACAAGGAAAAAAGGGAACAACGCATAACCAAGAAAAAAAAAGGGAACAAAACATCGTTAAACACTGCATGACAGAAAGGATCTACAGTGCAGCTGGCGTCACAAAACTGCTTTCTTCTGTTCTAAAGCTAGCGGGATTGCGCCCCGGGACATTACGTTGGATCTTACGCCTGCGTAAGAATCTATGACAGGTGTCTAACTCTTCTGCAGAATCGGATCAACTTCAAAGGACCTAACACAATGTAATGCCGATATTCAAATTCACCAAGGCTACCATGTACCCCCCAAATAGATCTCCTTGTCATTAATACTCACTCATTATATGATTATAGCTGTATTTGGTGCACATTTCAGTCTATATACAGAGAGAGCGACTGTGCATTCTTTCGGGTAAGCAGTGGGATTTATTTACAACTGCTCCCAATGCAAGCTGTTCCAGCAGAAGTGATTCTCGATTTGTCTTTTTAGGTTGATCGTCTGACATGATCTTGCTCTTTCTGAGATGATGTTAATCCTATCCTTGCTCAAAGCGATTTTTTTGTGATTTTTTTGCTACATAGCTCCTATCTTCTACAGAGCTGTTATTTTCAATAATGATGATAATCCAATAATTGTGTTACCCGCTTTCTATGTCATAGTCCTAGATGCTCATACGATAAGTTTTTCTGATTAGTAATTTTCTGACTTACGGTCTGAACGATTTCCTGAACCCTGGTTCGGGAACTCAGAGTCAAAAGCTCGGGTGGACATCAGATTCGTTTTGCTAATTGTGTTTCCTATGGCCTGAACTCTGGTTCTGGAAATCAGAGTCAAAAGTTCGGGCGGACATCAAATTCTTTTTCCTATTTGTGATGCCTATGGATTGTCAAAATCCACTGATTCTGCTTTGTATTTCAACGGATTTCTGGATATTGATTCCAATTCTTGTCGAATAAATCAACTGAGAATTTCATAGTATTGGTCGAAAGTCCTACTTAGGGCATCTGATGGTATATTCCTGTGGTAATTAGCATGGTCCCAAAATAATTGGCTAAAATTTGCTTCAAATTTAGTAAATTCATAATGGGTGGTTCTGTTGAGTTTTGGGGGATCTGTCCAAGATGGAGGGCAAGGGCACGAGATGACTCTTTGCGAAGACAGAGAGAGGGTTGCATCGGGGCTGTCTGAGGGGTACCGGCTAGGGGAACTTTAATTGGATGCGATTGGCGTCGGGCAGCTTTGGTTGTCGGATGGGTACCGGCTGATGAGGGTTTACTCTGGTGCGATTGGCCTCAGGCAGTGCTGGCTCATTCCCTCGATGATGGAGACTGGAATCCCCGAGGGGGCAGGAGATTGCAGGATGAGGATTGTGTCTGGCTCTTGCTGAGGATACGGTCTTTCAAACTCTTTACTAGGACGGAGTTGGGGAGGTGAAGGGGGGACAGGTGAGTGGAGGTTCTGTTTGGTTTTGGGGGATCTGTTCAAGGTGGAGGGCAAAGGGCATGAGAGGACTCTTTGTGAGGACGGAGAGAGGGTTGAATCAGGTCGTCTGAGGGGTACCGGCTGGGAGATCTTTCATTAGATGCGATTGGCATCGGGCAGCCTTAGTTGCCGGATGGGTACCGGCTGATGAGGGATCATCCTGGTGCGATTGGCCTCAGGCAGCGCTAGTTTACCCTCTCAATGACAGAAACTGGAATCTCCGAGGGGCAGGAGATTGCAGGATGAGGATTGTGTCTGGCCCGTGCTAAGGACATGGTCCTTCGAACCCTTCACTAGGACGGAGTTGGGGAGGGTGAAGGGGGTTCGGATGGGGGTGGTTTAGAACGGATGCGATTGGCATTGAGCGGAGTCTCGATGGGTACCGGCCGTGGTCAGCTGACCTCATTAGAACATACCTGGGACCTCCCTTTCGATGACGAAGACAGAACTGTTGCACTTGTTGGTCTTCCGGGACGTCCCTTTCGATGACGAAGACAGAACTGTTGCAATTGCAGTTTTTGGAAAAAAGATGGTGGGGTATCACGCCTCCTACTAGTGAGTGGGCTAGCTAGTAGGATGGAAATAGAGCACAGCAGCAGCAGAGATGGTGGCTCTGCTGCAGTAAGTCTTGCTGGAGTGGGGAGCAGGGGATTGTTTGGGGGGTCTGACTTTTTTCTGAAAAAAGAAAGCTCTTAGGAACCTTAATAGCGAGTGAGTAGGTGCAGAGGGTGGGCTATCACACGTCCTGCCAGTGAGGGGGTTAGCTGGTAGGATGGGAGTATGGTACAGCAGCAGCAGAGACGGTAGCTCCGCTGCAGTCAGTCTTGCCGGAGTGAGGTAATGTGGTGTGATGGGGGGTCCTCCTGAGTCGTTCCTGAAATTTGTTCTAAATCATGAATGATTGTTGTAGGAAAAAAAAAAAAGGAGAGTGGGAGAAGATGGTGGGTTATCACGCGTCCGACCAGTGAAGGGGCTAGCTGGTAGGATGGGAGTATGGTATAGCAGCAGCAGAGATGGTGGCTCCGCCGCAGTCAGTCTTGCCGGAGGGAGGTAAAGTGGATTGATGGGGGCTCTTCTGAGTCGTTTCTGAATCATGAAGTTGTCATAGATATGTCTGAAGTAGCT